CCAACCTACAGCCACACTGACGCTCTCGAGAGTACCGATAAAAACCAAGAGCCCGCTGTACAATAATCATGGATATATTCTTCGACAAAACAGATTCGATAGAAAGTAAACGTGGAAGCCACCATCAGTTATCGAAAGAAAAAATGACCTCATAAAAATTCATTTACAATCAGGAGTTATTCATAAGACAAATGTCGGAGGTGACCACAGAATGGCTGGAAGCGAAATGGAACTGGCACCTCAGGAAGAAGAGGAAAACATTGATTCGAGAGCCTCTCTATCTTATCAAAGACTAATAAGTCTTTGCTGTCTTATCGAGCAAGGCAATACCAGAGCGACAGGGTGCTTATGTACATACGTACATAAGCACCGAAGTCACTCACATATGCTAATGTGTATGTATACATGTATTAAAGTCATAATGCAAAACCTAAGACACTTCTATGACGTACATGAAAACATAACAAGGGCTAAAGGAGCACATGGAAGACAAACTGTAAATACTGTACAGGATTTCTAGCGTCTTGTCCACGACACGTCGTAAGTCGAGACCGTCGTAAACTGAGAACCCCTGTAAGCGATTTGAATTTTAAAATATCAACGCTTTCTGAACGGTTATTTTTAACGAACAGAAAACAACTCAAGGTCCCTCCTTAAAGAGTACTCCACTCGTGACTACGCGTTTACTGCTGGTTTCGAGGAAGAGGAGTAGACGAATAAAAAATAAATAAATAAATATGGATCTAACGAGTGCATCGAAATGTGCGAAAGACCGTGCTACTTGTACGTGCACGCATGTACACAGTTGTGAACATACAAATACGTGTCCATATAGTCAAAGTCGTAAGTTATAGAAATTATGCATCGCTTGGCCTCTGCTGACCAGAGAACTATGAATATAAATGTACGCATGTGTACATGTGCACATGTGCCCACAGGTAGGCCTATACACCCCTGCACTCTAATATTCGCACGTTTACACAAATATACTCACGTCTATACATGCGTGTATGGATTTGCACGTATATGTTCATATACATATACATTGCGGAATCCACAGCGAATTTCTGCGGTCACGACTTGTTTAGATGCCGCGACTCCACTGGACAGAGCCGATGGTTCTTTTCGCAGAGTGAATACCGCGGATGGGGGTTGGTTCCAGCCCACAGAAAATCGCTGGATTCCAGAGAAATTTATGGGTAGTCTGACCGTACCCTTAGTGGAGGATTTTGTAGTCTGACCGTACCCTTAGTGGAGGATTTTGTGCTTCAAAGACTGGATTCCACAATTTCTTATAACATACGACTGTAATAATCATATCTTTGTGCAACAAAATGTGTTTGAAAGAGAAATGATAGTTTCTAAGGTAATGAGATAATATAGATTCATACATAAAAGGTCTAAATAAGTGCTTACACGGACCTTGGCCACGAAAACCGGCCGGCAGCGGATTCGTGACGAGCCACATCCAGAATTTCACCAGAACAGGAGAGTAAATAAAATAATAATAAAGAAAAGAAGAAAGAAAGAAACGAAACAAAATCTTATTGCAGGTTTTTCTCTTCATCTTTGTGTACATGTTCCTGTGTTTTTCGGTGTACAGGATGCCTTTGTCTATGGCGCTTAGTCGGCCACTCTCTCAAATCGCAGCAGTATCACAAGCTATTCGAAAACAAAGGGGAGAGGTTTAGTGTAAAATGCTGGAAGATATAACGCGAATATGAGATAGCGAAATTCAAGCTCCATGCACAACCGACAAAAGAAAACTATTAAAAAGGGTTTTTAGGAAGGGAGACACAATCCTATCGTGTGTGTGTGTGTGTGTGTGTGTGTGTGTGTGTGTGTGTGTGTGTGTGTGTGTGTGTGTGTGTGTGTGTGTGTGTGTGTGTGTGTGTGTGTGTGTTGATGGGATTGTGTCTCCCTTCCTAAAACCCTTATCCTTATCCTTATCATACGAGTTCATTCGGAAACAAAAAAATGACGGAAAAACTGATTGTGTGATCTGAATAATCTCCGTCTTGATCTATACATCGAGATTTTTTTTTTTTTTTATTGATATATTAGATGAAAAATGTTAATGAAAACGATAGTTGATGTTTTAGAGTATTTCTACATTCAATGTACATAAAAATATTTCTTTAAAATAACGTGATATGTATGAGAATGCGCGTGATTCCCGGGACGTCACTCAGATGCCGCCATATTTGTTTACATGGGCACTATGCTGCCCTCGTGGTGCGACAGGGTCAGTCAGCCCACTGACATGCGGAAAGATCCTATAGAAACGCAAAAAAAATGACGGAAAAAGTGCTAGCGCGACAGGGCCTTAACTGAACCGCGAGACTTAAAGTAATGTTTCAGTGACCAAGTCCCTCGGCCAGCGAAGGGTTCCAGCAGAGCAGCAACTGCTATCTGTAGCTTCGTTACCAGCACTAACTCTCTCCTTTCTCTCTTTTTTTTTAAAGCAAGATTGCACATTTAAAATTAAAACATATGAAAAAAAAAATCTATTTCAAACCATGAAAAGAAACTTTCAGAAGAACAAAGAAAAGAAAATTGGGCTAAGAATCTACAGGACCCTGAGTCGTTAACCATCAGCTGATTTTAAATAGGGGGCGGGGCCAATGAGGCAAGTAAACGTATTGCAATTGCCAAGTTGATTTTGTGAGGGGGGGGGTAATGATGAAGATTTTCCGAACTGATTTAGTTTTCATTTGAAATCATTCATTCAGTGGTGCCTACACTTAATTCTCTCTCTTACTCACACTGTCACTTATTCGTCCTTCCACTAAACTGGTAATTACATCTTCCATTCGTTCATTCTCGCTCTTACTTTCTCATTCTGTGAATTACCCATTCTTTATTACACACATCCTTCTTCATTCTCACTCACCCACCTACCCACTCACCTACCCAATACACCCATCCCCCAGTCACTCACCTACTCACTCACTTACCCACTCATTTACTCATCCAGTCCCCACTCACTAGCTCATTAACTCACTCACCAACCCACCACTCACTCACTCACCCACACCCACCCACTTACTCATCCACCTACTAACTCAATAATTCACTCACCCACCCCACCTTTCTCTCACACTCATTCACTCACCCACTCATTCACTCACCCACCCACCCTCACTCACTCACCCACCCCACCCACCCTCTTACTCACTCACCCACCCTCTCTCTCCATCCACTTCCTCACAGATCCACCCTCTCTCTCTCACACTCACCCACTCATCCACTTACCCAGTCACCCACTCTCTCACTTACTCACCCACTCACTCATCCACTTACCCAGTCACCCACTCTCTCACTTACTCACCCACTCACTCATCCACTTACCCACTCACCCACTGTACTCACCCACTCTCTCACTTACTCACCCACCCACTCGTACTCACCTCTTCTCCACAGTCTGCAGAAGAGAGACTTGCGATGGTGCGGCCACGTCCTCCGCGTGTCCCCCCGCCCGCCATGGTGGGAGGAGTGAGAGGGAGAAGGATGGAGGAGAGGAAGAGAGGAGGAGGAGGAGGAGGAGGAGGAGGAGAGGGGAGGAGGAGGAGGAGGAGGAGGAGGGAGGAGGAGGAGGAGGTGGAGGTGGAGGTGGAGGTGGAGGTGGAGGTGGAGGTGGAGGTGGAGGTGGAGGTGGAGATGATGGTGGAGGAGATGAAATGAAGGAAGAGGAGGGAAATGGAAGGGGTAGAGGAGAAGAAAACGAGAAGAGAAGAAAATGAAGGGAGACTAGGAGGAAAGGGAAGTGACAGAGGGAGAAATGATGAAAGAAGAGGAAGAAATCTAAGTAGAGGAACGGAAATGAAGAATGAGGAACAGTGGAGAGCAAGAGTAATCAGGGTCGGAAGCGTCCCTTCAGAAATAAGAAAAAGAAATGAAAAGAAAAACAAAACAAAAAAATGAAAATGAAAAAGGGACCTCAAGAGGGCAACAGTCCCCTCCCTCTGCTCCTCGTCCCTCCTGCTACAGCTTCGCCACAAGGACAGGGAGGAAGGGGCATTGCCAGGGGCGTGGGACAGGCGTGCCGGGAGTCCCTGGCAGGGGTTGGAACAGGCAGGGCAGGGGCAGGGATTCGGTAGGTCAATAAATTGTTCTTTTCTTCGCCGAATGCAGGGAGAGGAGATGCCAAGGGTCGACGGACTTCATTTTGGGGGAACATTTTTATTTTTCGCGCACTTATATTTTTTTTTTTCATTCTTAGCATACACCGCTGGTTAGGTCTTTGCTTATTCGTCTCTCTTAGTATTTAAACTTTAATTTTTTTCTATCACTTATATTCTTCCCTTCTTACTTTCCCTTGTCTCTTTCGTTTCTTTTCTCTTTTTGTTCGTGGAATATTCACTTCTTTCTTCCTTCCTTCACTCGCACTTACTAAGTCATTTTTCTTGGCAATATCTTCTAGATTCATAAGGAAAATTAATTAAAATAATTTTGTGCTTCTTTCAACACATACACAAAACTTTTATTTTTGAGAAAAAGAAAAACAAAACTTAAGGGCGCAACGAAAGAAAACGACCATAACAATTCACAGAAAATGGAGTTCGATGTTTTGGAACAAGACTGTCAGGAGTATGTTTTTTTCACACACACACACACACACACACACACACACACACACACACACACACACACACACACACACACACACACACACACACACACACACACACACACACACACACACACACACACACACACACACACACACACACACACAACACACACACACACACACACACGCACACACACACACACACACACACACACACACACACACACACACACACACACACACACACACACACACACACACACACACACACACACACACACACACACGTAACACATATCTCGAATTCTAATCTTCCTCCTCACCTGAGAGGCATGGGGGCGGGGGCGGGGGGCGGGGGGGGGGGGACGAAATCATGCATTGAGAAATAAAAAAAAAAAAATAAATAAAGAGAAATGAAAAACAAATACGTGTTAATTTCCAAAGTCGGCAGCACCTGAACTGACACGACAGGCACACCTGGAATGCTCTGATTGGGTGTCTTTATCTCTATGAACGAATAGGATAAAACCGTGGAGAGGGAGGGAGGAAGGGAGAGGGAAAGGGGAGGGGGGGAGGGAGAGGGAAAGGGGGAGGGGAGAGGGAAAGAGGGAGGGGGAGGGGATGGGAGGGGAGGGAGAGATAGAAAAATGAGAGAGTGCGTGTTCGTGTGCAGTGTGTGCGCGCATGTGTGTATTTGTACGTGTACGTGTACGTACGTGTACGTGTACGTTGTTGTGTGTGTGTGTGTGTTGTGTGTGTGTGTTGTGTGTGTGTGTGTGTGTGTGTGTGTGTGTGTGTGTGTGTGTGCTGTGTGTGTGTGTGTGTGGTGTGTGTGGCGTAGTGCGTGTGCGTGTGCGTGTCGTGTGCTGCGTTTGTGCGCCCGTGTGTGTTGTTTTGTGTGTGCGTGTGTGTGTTTTGTGTGTTTCTGTGTGTTTGTGTGGCGTGTGTGCTTTGTCGTGTGCGTGTGGTGTTTTGTTGCGTTTGCGTGTTTGTGTTTGTATGCGTGTTTGTGTCCGTGTGCGCGCATTTACCATATCTAATAAATTTTCAGGTATCCTCTGCTAACTGAAAAAAAATTCCTTCTCTCCCGAAATATCTAGTCTCAAAATATGCTACTGCTTTAAACTCCCGAATTACTTCATCGGACGGGGTCTTCTCTCTCTTACTCTCATCTCCTCCTCTCTCTTCCATCTTACTTCGCTCTCTCTCTCTTCTTATTATATATACTTTAATTGAAAACGGGAAAAATAGAAGTATAAAAACATAAAATTATAAATAATACATTATTATATATATATTATTAAATTATAAAATTCATGTATAAATAATACCAATATTATGTATACATTATATTAAAAATTATATATAAATATATGTCATAAATATAATGGTTAATATTAGATATATATATTTAGTAATATATAGGATTTAATAACATAAATATATTGAAGGGCTTTACTAATATTTAAATAATATATACCACTCGTATATATACAATTTCATAGATGACTGTCACATAGTAGATAAGAGATAGGTGTATTACCAAGAGTATATATATAATATATAAGATGTATTGAGTATTGTAGTTATATAGATATACTACTATTAAAAGTTTTCATATATATATATATGTATATAGTATAAATTAATATAATTATATATTGCTATATTATATATTATTATATTCATATAATATGGTAGTAAACTAACGTGTTATATATTATACTAAATTATTATTATATGTTCGATATTATGTTATTAAGAACATTATTAGCTATATTATATATATGTATTGGCATATATAATAAATATATATATATATAAATTAATCATATTATATATGTTTTAATCTATATTAAAATATATATAATATTACTAATATACTATAATACGACTATACATCTTTAATAGTCAAAAGTCTATACACAAGATATTATATACATATACATTATATATATTAGACAGAGTTAAAATTTCTATAATATTATAATTATTATTATATTATAACATAAATACTATATATTCTATTATATATATTGCTATATTATTAGGAAGTACTACTAAAATCTATAATATATTATTATATTCACTAATATATTAGTTGTATGATATAAATAATGTAAAATCTATAATAAGATCATATAATAATATAATACTATATATATATATGAATACCGATAATATATACTCAGAATATTAATAGGTTAATATAAGTTCATTATAAATAAAACACTATTACGATATTCTCAATTTTAGTATAATTCATAATAATATATCATGATAATAACTATAAGGCTTCGAAGCCTATCAATTAAATCTTATTATAATATCATATCATATATATATTAAAGTTGAACAAAATATATATATCAGTACGTTAATAATTTAATATATAATACTAATCAATAAGACACATTAATATAACTACATATATACTATATATAAATTTTATATATATTATATATATAATATATATATTATATATATATATATAATAATATATATAATATTATGTATATACATTAAAAGTAGAATAATATAATTATAACATATACAAATATATTAAATATATATATTATTAATGAAGTATATAGTATAGACTTATATATATATATACAATATAATTATATAATATTTATATATATATATATATAATATAATTATATATATAAATATATATATAAAATATATATATACACTACTATATATATCACCTACTAACATATATACGATCACACATACCCTCAATTCAGAATTTAGACATCTATTGGGTTTTATTTATAGCTAGTACTATATTTTATTAATATATCTAAGATATATACTTATTAATTATATATATGTTAATACTAATATACTTATAAACGCGGATCCACCTAGTAATGGAACGTCATAATTTGTGAGCTATGTATAATATATGTATAAAATGTATATATACTATACTATAATTATATAATACAGACTGTGAAACTATATGGCGAGGTTATACACTTACTAATTACCAACGTGTTATAATTACATACGATTTTTTTATAGTAATACCATGTTATAGAGTAATAATATGGGTACTAACGCCATCACGTTATCATAATTATGCACATAACAGCTAATACATACGTACTTATTTTAACTATATACGCTATATATATACTAACAATATACTATTATTATAGCACATTATAGCTTAGGCAGTAGAGTTATGTACATATGTATGAAATAGAGAGGAGGGTAGGTAGTTGTATAATAGAGGAGGCAATCATATAGATATAAAAAGAGATAGTAACGCTATATTATATATATTACTTTTATATGTACTACTTATCTATATACTATTATATATATATATAAATATAAAATATATAAATTATATATATATATACTAGTATAAAGTATGTATGTATTATATATATTAGTATATATTAATTATAATATACTAATACGTACTATATATGCATATGTATAAAATATATATATATATCGTATACTATTTATAATATATAATATATATATATATTAATATTTTTTATTAAGTTATGTGATATTAGTAGTATAATATAATATGATATTTATGCTATGTTAATATATATATGTTTTTTATTTTGGTTTTCGCTGTTTTGTTTTGTGTGTGTGATTGGTCTAGTGGTGTGTATATATATATATATAAACTAATCTAATATATATAATATACTACATAATGTATAATGCACAGATATAATGAATATATATATAGCTAAATATACGATATAATATAGAATATAAGTTGTGTATATACTAGGTAGTAGTGTATTTATATTATTTTTGTATAGGATATACATAATAATATACTATATATATATATACAATATTTATAATACCTTATATTTTTGATATATGATAGTACCTACATACCCCGGGAATACGACTACCTAGCCTATATTACTAGGATATACTAATACCTATATACTAGTATTAGCATATTACTATATATGACTATATTATAGTATATCTATAACTGTATTAAATAATGTCTATATATAAGGTACTAGATATTATTACTACTACTACTAATCAATATAGAATATATCAATAGATAATATTGTGTGTCTTGTGTGCTGTGTGTGTGGTGCGTTTAGTTGTATGAGGTGTGAGTACATATCTATAAAATTCTTAAATATATATAATATATATATATATCTGGTAGTAGATAATATTGAGTATCTATATATATAATTTATGTAGATTATAGGTAATGATCATATAAAGATATACCATAAAAGTATATTATCTATATATAAGTATAATATTACATATAGTATAATATATACAATATATTACAATGACTAATAATAATTCTTATGCAACGATGATAATATATATTATAATATAATTATAGTACTATATAATATATAATCTCGTATTTGTTATTATGTATATTGCTAATCACAACACAATATATATATCATACTCATATATATTCTTATATATTAGCGTTTAATTTAATATATACATAAAGATTATGATACAATTATATTATAGATTAATAATATATATAATAATATCCACATAATTAATAAAAATAAAAGTACTTAATGATAAAGATAGCTAAAAGTTGATATACTATACACTACTATAATGTAAGGGTACTAAATCATCCACACACTATACTAATAAATACTACATATATAAATATACAACCCCAATATACTAACATATCATATATATAACAATAATTATATACAACTATAATATTATATATAACATACACATATATAATAAAAATAAATAAGTAATACCACGTGATAGCATTAGATTAGTGGATATATAGTATATACTACGAGCAATATATTCTATAATGTATATATATTTTAAC